AGAGATATAAAAACCAAATATTTTTGTACATCTGTACAATATGTTTTTGTTTTAAGCTAAATGCTATTATAGTAGACTTCAAAAGTTTTTTAAAATGTTTATAAAAATATAAAAAGGTTCATAAATTTAAAAATGTTGAGAGATATAAAAACAATATTTTTGTACATCCATACAATATTTTTTAAAGCTAAATGCTATTACAATAGACTTCAAAAGTCTTTTTTAAGTTTATTAAAAAACAAAGTAGGTAAATTATTAAAGAAAAATATTTCCTATAAACTTAGTATCACCAACGTATGCATTGTTTGTAAAGTGATGTTCTTTGCCTTCACATTTAACATTTGCTTACTACTGGTTATTCACCCAGAGCAATGGTAGGAACTGTGTATTAGTATATCCTTTTTATCTTTTTCCCCCCTGATATTGTAGATTGAACTCAAGCTCTTGTAAATACTTTTTAAAAAATCTTTTATATTGTATTTTTATATTCTAGAGGTATAGTAGGCCATACTGTCTAGTTTCATATAAGTACACTCTGTGCTGTCTGCACCATACATTTCTCAGAACATGTTTCTGTTGTTAAGCAATGTGTTATTGTATTGATGAACTTCAAATTTTTTAGAAAGGAGATAAACACCAAATTCCTATAGAAGTGTCTGGTGTTTCAGATGTAGGGAAGTTTAGAAAACTGGAAAGTAGGACAGAAGAATTGAGGATCTAAGTCTGACAAAAACACAATAGAAAGAGAATGTCCAACAATAAATGCAGAGTCTCTAAAGAAAGCTGAGATCTGGAAGAGATCACAGTACTTACCAGAGGTAAATGACTTAGAAGTGTACAAGACCTTAAATGGCAGTTTGGGAAAGGCATCTGTTCAGGGAAAAAGATGAACAGAAAGGAGAAGGTATGCTTTGGAGTTGTGTTAGCAAAAGTTAGGAAGTTACAGGAGAGAACTATAGTTCCATCTGAAACAGCATTACAAGGGGCTGTACAGTTCAGTGGTAGAATGCTTGCCTAGCATATTTTCAAGATTCTAGGTTTAATTCCTAGCATCACACCCCACACACACACAAGGATACATAAACCTCTTCTCTTTCAAAAATAAAAATTACACGTATACACACACATAACAGTATTCTGACAGCAGAGGGCAGTCTTGAACTAGGAATCTTGTTTTGAAAACTAAAATGGACCAGCTATTAAAAAACTCTACTGTGTAAAATGGATCTCCCTCCCTCAAAAAAAAAGTCTTTCCATACAAAATTGCTTTTAAAGGAAAGCAGTGGGGATCAAAACTGTGTCCATCTGATGTAATTTCTCCCCATAAATAATATAAAACAGGAGACTGTTGCAAAATCTTCCTAAGTCAGTCAAATGCCTTAAAGAAATGAATCAAAAAATTAAAAATTAGAATACGTGAGAGTTGACATTCTCAAGGTGGTAGAATAAAACCATCTGGTCATATTCCCCAAAAACACAAGAATTATGCATTCAAACATAAATTAAAAATCTATTTGTGGGATATTCAGGGTTCAGTTTGTATGTTGCAAAACCCTGGTGGAGCCCAAGAGTTAAGAGGATCATTTTAAGAGTGCACGTACTGCATTCTACTAATGATAGAGTATCTTTAGTATGAGAGGTAAATGACAAAAACTTTAAAGTAATACAATAATTATGTAAATTGTAAACTGTTATAAATTGTGACTTCAAAAATTTGAAATACGGTAACAGAAAGAGTTAAAGTATAAAAGGTTTTTTTGTTGTTTCTTTTTATTCCATCAAATTTAACTTCTTAGCTGCTTATTATATTCCTGGTGGCTATAAGATGTTCTTAGTAAGTGTTATGGTAACTACAAAGCAAAAACCTGTAATTAATACACTAAAATTTTAAGAATAAGGAATTGAAACAATAATAAATAAAAATCGCTATGTCATAAAGATAGTAAGAGAAGAAAGAATATACAAGATGAGAAAACATAAAATGCAACAGTAAATCCTTATCTCAGTGATTACCTTGAATGTATATGAATTAAGTTATCTAATTAAAAAACAGTGAATTAAAGGCATCATATTACAGTGATATATGAATATCTGTGTTTATATCAGTGCAATTCATAATAGCTAAATCTTAGAAGCAGCCTATATCTCCATCAGCTTATGAATGGATAAGGAAAAAATGGTATTTATACAGAATGGAGTATGCTGTACTATAAAGAAGGATATATTTGAATCATTTTTAGGAGAATAGATGGCAACTTGAGACCATAATGTTGAGTGAAATAAATAAGACACACAAATTTAAATATTGCCTGGTTTCTCTTAATACAGTTTGAGAAACAAAATATAAATAGCATAATAAAAAATGGGGAGATAGATCTTTTATAAAAGGGAAGAGGACCAGAGATAGTGGAAGGGAAAAGGTATAGGGGTTGAAAAGTTAATTAAGGTGTGTTGACTGGGGGTTTAGCTCAGCGGCATAGGCGCCTGCCTTGCAAGCAGG